CCTTTTGTGCAGGGAATTCTAGGTTTCAGGTTCAGCCATGTGATCTGGAAGTGCAATAAAGCTTTGGCAGAGCCTTTAGTGGATACTTACAAGCTGTATAACTTTGGGAAAAGTGGCTGATATTTATTTTTATGTTATAAAATGTTCCAATCTTAGAGTAATGTAGAAAATAAGATACAGTCAAGTTGATAAATTGTGTTTACTATAACCACACTATATTATAAAGACTCCATGAAGATAGTCTAAGGAAACTTAAACATTGCCTGGGAATTAGCAGGAAGATTTTTTTAAGGGAAGAAACAGCCTTTATTGACATTGAGGAGGAGGACACAGAGAATCGATCACAGGGAGATGGGGGGATCCTCTAGGAAACTTTTCTATGAAGGTCATGTGTTAGCATCAGTAAAAATGACATTCATATAGTGCATTTTAGAGCACTTTTTAAAAAATCAGTCCAATCCACAGAGGCTTGAAGACATTTATACAGCCATCTAAAATTCAATAATAGGTTGGACAGATCAATATCAGATGGTGCAAAATTAAAATAATGATAATGCCTCACTGTTACAGCCATGCAGTTCAGTTAAAATTATTACACAGGGTTACAGAAGCATACTACTGTTTCTGCCATCTTGGATAGGGACAAAACACTTTGAAAGTATCATCTGTAATTCTTGGTGAAGGTGTAGGAGAACATAGACTGACAGAAGGAAGACTCGTTGAAGAAATGAGATCTGGAATCTTCCTTGTTTTCTGAGCCTTCCCATCATTCCCTAAGGAAGTCAGATCCCACACATCCTATGTTTCAAAAATTCATCTAGACTTGGCAGTTATCACAGCAGTCTTCTCATGGCACCAGGTATGTGACTTAGAGAATCTTGTATGTGATTAATGCCCCATGAAAAGCAGTTTAAACTACTGTTTGTTAATCACAAATATATTTCATATATCATTTACATTTACAACAAACCTGTCATAGAAAGTTAACTAATGACCATAGTGGATGATAGATATCGGGATATAGGAAAAAATGTTCAAAGAGAGAGGGGAACAAGAGATGGGGGAGGAATAGAGAGGAAAATAGAAAAGGGAACATAATGAAAGAAATGAAAACCAGGGGCAGGGGAGATGGCTCAGTAGAATAAGTGCTTCCCTGGCAAGCGCAAGAGTCTGAGTTCAATTCCCAGTTCCACAAAAAAAAAAAAAAAAAAAAGAAAAAGAAAAAGAAATGAAAACTAAATTTTTATAAATAAGAAAAGGAAGAAGTGTCAAATGGAGGGGAAGTGAATGGAAAAAAGAAGGATCAAGATATATTAAGTAGAAGTACAAATTCCTTACAATGAATGTGATCATCATGTATATTAAAAGTGTTTCAAGATTTTAAAAATAAAAATTAAATTAAAAAATAAGTTAAATAAAACCACATATACATATTCAAATGATATAAATGCTATTTATTAAGCAGGCATGTACATTATAATGAAAATATACCAGGCTAATTGTACACAGGAACAAAGGATGTTAAAATATATAAAAGCTCTATAAAAATTTAAATATAAATTTATTATTGAATAAATGAATAAATGTACAGCTAGTATAGTGGTGTTTCCCATGTCACCTTTTCTTGACTAAGAAAGATAAACTGTCATGTACTGAATTTTCAAAGTATGTATGTACTGATATACATATAAGAACAAAGGACACTCAACTCAACCAAATTCTTGGCTCCTCAAGTTAAGTTAGAACTCTAGTTTATTTTCACGAATTCACTCTAAACTTTGGGTCTTAAGACTGCCCACAGAACCATGTTTAATCCACATGCAGTTGCATAGCGGCAGCAAGGCATTTATGAAATCAAAACATCATTCAAAATATTGCTGTTCACAGGTGAGTGCTGTGCAAATCCAACAAGCTAGGAACAATGAATCACTCCTCTAAGACCTGCTTTCCTGAGATTTTCTGCTGGATCTTCTTTCCCCATAACCCCCTTCCAGCCTTGACAACTGCACACCTTTTAATCACTTATTAAATACTACGAAGACCAAGGACAGTGCTGTATGCTCTTTCGCCCTGACAGTAGGCTTGGAAACAGTCTATAGAAGCAAAAATCTCTGCCGAGAGCAGTAAATAAAGCAGCGTAGAGAACAACACTAGTCATAGCCAATGGCAAGGTGGGAATGAATAATGCCAGCTCTGGCAGAAATGGGCTCCACTCAACTTCCACAGAAAACTTCAGGATCATAGTCATTCTTGAGTGAGACATTTGCATTTTGAAACTCCCTATCTTTTTTTGTCAGTGGAGCTACCAATGAGTGGCCATATCTAGCGGCTGCAGCGCAACTATATGCAGCACATAGACCTGTCACCCTCAACTTGAATGCCCCTCACAGTTTTCTTTGCAGCACAAGCTGCCACCCTCTTGTCTGGACTGTGGCCTCCATTCACTGGTGGTCTGCCTTCTTCTATTCTGGCCAACCCCACTCTTCCCATATACATATCTCACCCAACACATCATGTACAACTGGGCAGCCTGAGTGAACTTTCTAAGGCACAAGCCAATCACCTCTTAGAACACTTCCATGGTTTTTCAGTTATACTTGGAATAAAATTAAAAACATCAAGTGAAAACCTCACTCTCCTCCCATACACATATCTGGTATCCTCGCCTTTATTTACTACTTCTTTATCTACTTAGGTTGCAATCATCTTGTAAGTTCTTGTTTCTAGGGTATTTATACTTATTGATCCCTCTACTAGAATGTTTTTCAGCAAAATCTTCCTCACAGTTCACCATCCTAGTTTTTGCTCAAATGTTACTCATGTCTACTAATCCAGTCTAAAGGACTCCTCTCCATCACTCCCTCACTCATCCTACCTTGTTTTCTTCAGAGCATTTAATAGCTGATATACTATTATTAGCTTGCTTGGTTGTTCATTCCATATAGAAGCAGTCTTGGCTGTCATTTCCAATTTCTTGACATGATCTAAAATAAACTACTCTTTCCCAGCATTTCTTTATATAAATCATTTGATTTCTAGGGTAGTTCTCATTCTCCTCTGCCCCTAACCATCATCCATGAACATAGCTGTAATAAAATGCTCACTGGTATTCAGGTAATATTAAAACTGCACAGTGTTTTCCATTTGTTGGAATCACAGGGGAACTTTAGTTGCAGGAAAAAATTATTCTGAGCTTTTGCAGAGAGGAGGAGATGACTAGTAACGTAAGCTCACCACCCTTTCAAGGGTTATTCCTTCCCTATAAGGGATACCAAGCAATTCTGGGCTTCTGAAGACCTTGTTTCACTTTTTCACTAGCTGACCACACGACCAGGCAAGAGAGACTGAAAGCTATAGTACAGTCTCCAAACCCCCTGCTAGTAACATCCAGGAACAGGTCAGTGCTGAGACACCTGGAAGTCATCCTCATAAACCCTCTGTGGGATGAGGGTGACTTGTACAACCCCAGGCATCACTGGGATTGTTGCCCACATTTGTGATTGAGAACACAGGCCCTGCAGCTTGAAAGCCTGGGTTCAATTTTCTGCTTTGCCACCACTGCCTACGTGACCTTGGAAAATTAGTTATCCTCACCAATACTAAATATTCTTTAACAGAAAAAGCTGAGTCCTATCCAAATTACTTTTTTAAAAGGTTGAGCGTTTTGTTTTTGGCTTGTTTTTGGTTTTTGTCTGTATTTTTTTTTACTCTGAAAAATAATAAATTAACTCCTTTAACCCATATCACAACTAGCATTGTGATATGGATTAAAGGAGTTAATTAAGAAACATAAAACTTTGGCTATTATCATTATGATTTCTCAATAAAACCTTGTTTGCTTGCATATAACTGAGAAGGTTCTCAGGATTGATAATGTATTTAAATGTATATATAATCACTGAAATCCTGGGAGAAGAATATATCTCTTAGAGCAACTGAACAGCAAAGAAGAGAATGTGTCCATTAACTTATGTGTGCGTGTGCGTGTGTGTGTGTGTGTGTGTGTGTGTGTGTGTGTGTGGAAGGTTAGATAGATAGATATCTCAGAGTTCCTCAAACTGTAATGATCTTTAAAATCAGAGCTTCCTACAGAACAACAGGGATGTCTATGCATCCAGGACAAGAAAGGAACTGGTGTTAATCCTCATACTTAAATAACAGCCAATCCCACTTTTCAATGAGGTCAATGACACAAAAATTTGCAAGCAATGCTCTGTGACAGCGATGTTGTATTATAAATACTAAAAACATTAGGTAGGGCCACAGGTGTTAAAACTTCCAAAGTATAGTTTAATTCTCATCTATGCCCTTCCAAATTTAGCCATATCACTTTATATTACATTAAAGGCTCTGTAAAACTAATATTAACTTTCTGCATTTTCATAGCTATCACATTTTAATATGCAATAAGTTGTAGGACCAAATTACCACCATCTAACATGAGACAGAACACCATAACTATAACTATCACAATCCATGCTTTCACCAAGATATCAAATTCTCAAGGAATAAAATTTGTATAAACAATGGTCTAGGATCCACCTGAAGACCAGGTATGTGAACATTCTCAAAAGACTTTCCTTTGAGACACATGTGATAGCAACAATTCCAAAATGCTTTGCTAGCTGCCTTGACATTATTAATTTCACTAAAACATTCTATTGCCTTAGGATGCTTCAATGCATTATACAATGAAAATCGCTTTCACTTCAGCAACATCAAAAGGAAGTAAATTTCTAACTTATGACACTTTGCATCACTTCTTCAGGTAAGCAAAACATAACTACACCAATGAAATAAAGAGGAAGAGAAATCCAAAGGGAATAGTGTAAAATTAAAAATTATTGAGGGAAAAAAGTGCTTCTCTCAATAAACATTCCAAACTAAGTTTCCCTGAAGCAGAACCAGTAGTATCCAGAAATCATGTATCACAGTAATTTCAATTCATTTCAAAGTAGAAACACTTGAGTAAGAAATCTCTGCCAGTCTCAGGGGCTTACCTCATCATCTTTATACCAGGACAAGCTTTCTGCAGTGAGGACGAACCAGTACCCCTTCGAACCTCCTTTCATGATGCCAATGTTGCTGATGGTCAGCCACCCCTTACGAATGACCTGCAAGAGAGCAGACACCAGCACAAGCGCTTAGTTTAACACTAGTCAGTGGAAATGCAAGATCTTAGACTAATAAAGCTAAAAACAAGATTTCAGTGAGAACAGCACTGTCCCCACCACCAAAATGCAACTCCTATTGAGCTATTCATGATAATTTATCTTCCAAAAGTGCAGGCGACCAGAGGGAAGTCTCTTCCATCAGTGAATAAAATAAAAATTTCTTGGACTCGTAAGATGGCAGGCATAAAGTGACTGAAACAGACAGGAATGAAATGAGGCAGCCTAACAGGCTTGTGCCAGGCCTATTTATGGCATTGCTGCTGCAATTAAAGCATATTTAGTTGATTGGATGAACAATAGACTCTCCATGCACACTGCTCTTCTCTGCTTTCCGCCTACTGCCTCATTTGTCTGCCTGTTTTGCAGCTCATTAGGATTTACAGCAGGGACTGGACAGCAAATGGTGAAAAGCAGAGACCCCAGCCAACCAATTAGGTCCTTGTTAACAACCATGAATAGCGCTGGTTGAGGGAGAAAGCTGAAACAATAAACTAAAATGAAAAGTGAGGGGTTTTTCTAATGCCTTTGATTCACCCATCTACTTCTGGTTATTATTTGCTATGCACAAAACATGCAGCATCTTCATACAAAAATATTTAAAGTTTTTATACTTTGAACCATTAACAACTTGGACCAAAGAATTGATGAAATTATTTATAAGAAGGATTTAAGGATAAATGCATCCTCCTCTCACAGTTCTTGCAAAGTTATACTGTTTTCCAAAAAAAAAAAAAAAAGTTTGTTTTTTTCCATGTAGCACAATTTACTGTACTCTGGAAGCTAGATCACTTTGCTATCCTAGGACCAGAAATGCTATTTTATATGGAAACATACAATGTCTCCTAAATGTCATCAGACACACAAGCTAAAATACTGCGTGGTTTCTCTTATATGAGAAACCCAAAGTGTAAATAAGTTAGAAAGCTAAATGTCAAGAATTGCCCTGTATCAAAGACATTCAATATCTTACAGATCCTGAAATGTTAAAAATTACTTATGGTATGACTGATTGTCAGTTCAAAAAGGGAGATGAAAATGCTCCAATAATTAAACTTTACTTTTACATTGCTGTTTTCTAGTTGAAGGCGGAAAGCCAGTCCTAGGGACAATCATGAAATAAGCCAACGTTCTCCTTGCTGGCCTCCCAACCTCTCACCACACTCCCGAGGCCTAGCCACCCTTGTCCAGCACCTCCTAGGGCCAATTCTCCCTAAGAGCACCTCTTTCAGGTCCAGACTGAAGCAGATTTCTCCACTGACCAAAATTACCCCTTCTTATTCTCTCCTTCAAAAAGAAAAAAATAAAACATCCTGGAGTATAGTTTCTATCTGCTACATTATAATCATCAGATGCTTTCTAAAAACATAAATTCCTGAGCCAGCTACCACTCAGAATGAATTAGAATATGGAAACTAGGAATCTACACTTCAACATATTCAAAGGTGATTCTTATTTGTATGGAAGTTTAAAAAACCCCTTCATGCACACATCCAATACACAAAATCAAAACCTGATTTTCAGGCCAGTGAGCTATCTCAGTAGACTAAAGCACCTGCTTAGGCAAGCGCAGGGACCCCAGTTGGATCCCCGGCACCACATGCTGCACCAACCCCACCCCCAGGGAGGGCTGAGCCATTCAGAGTCCAGGTATAGTGGCGCACACCTGTAATCCCAGCACTGGGGAGGCTGAAAACAAGAGGATCACTGAGTCTGAGCTGCATAGTGAGCCCCCGTAACAATCAAATACATTTTTAAAAAGGAAGAAAAAACTTGATCTTCTTTAAAGCAAATGAACACAGCTAGTCTCCAATAGGAAGAAATCAGTTAAATTATTTCACACCAAGCTTACTACCATCCTTCCAGGGCTTAAAATACCTTCTATTTTTTATACTCAATGGGAGTATACTAATTAAATAATTTCATTTTATTAGTTATCTTTAGACATGGAAGACAACTTCGAGATATTCCACAAATTATAAAAAGAATGCTACCATTTTGCATACTAGTAAAACAGGCTTCCTCTGTCAAAAGGAGCCATGAATTGAGCCCATTCCTTCAGAAACTACCATATTTCAAGACTAAAAAAGGATTTCAATGCCACAACCATGCCCTCAAGAATCTTCCAATCTAGGAGAAAGGCAAACCCCCAATAATAATTCCAATGTAATCATATAGCAAGGGTTGTAGGCCAACACAGATGCAGTCAACAAGGCTCAGCATGTTGTAATAGACTCATCTTGAGAAAATATCTCAGAGATCCTGGAAGTGGAATAGAATTAGTCAAGTCAAGTAACATGTTTGCTTTCTACAGAGAAGGATAAATAAGAATCAAGTAGGAAAGAGTCAGTGCAGAAAATGAGACTTGAGGACAAAGATGTTGAGGCTGGAGGAGGAGGTGGGATGACACTGGAGTAGACCCAGTTTCGTAAGACCTTGAATTTCACTGGTCCCAGTCCCCAGGAAGTACCAAAACTAAATTTCAGATTCACATCGCTAAAACATGTATATTTTAAAATTCTATATTTAACCATGGTACTAAAAAATTGTGTATATTATACTAAAATACCTGGTGAGAAATTCCAAAACACAGTATAACAGTGAAATAGATAAATAATGTTTTTAACAATTCTAAAACGTCAAAAAAATAGAGGAGGAAGATCAAATTTTAGAAAGTAAGTATGCTGGTGATAAATTCAGTCTAGCCATGTTGAACTTGAATTTTTAATTTTAACAATTAAAAACTTCATGGGGGATACAAATTGTGCTGCAATTATCATTTTATTATGAACCTCTTATTGATATCAGCACTAGGGTGCTGGTATCAATAAAAGTATATCAAAAAATCTGAGGGGGCCCTGCCCAATAGCTCAGTTATTTAAGTGCCTGCTTAAGCAAAGGCTATCAGGCTCAGGATAGAGTGGTTCAATCCCCAGATCCTCATACCTTATTAGACCTGCCCTTAAGGCATCCTCAGCCAGTCCAAAAAAAAAAAAAAAAAAAAATCGTTCTGAACTTTTAGACTGGGTGTGGTGGCACCTGCCTGCAATCCCAGCTCTTGGGAGGCTGTACTGTAAACAGGTGGATCACTGTGAGTCCAATCTAGGAGTGAGACCCTGAACACCCTGTAGACCCTTCCCTAAAATACAAAAAAGAAAGAAAGAAAGAAAGAAAGAAAGAAAGAAAGAAAGAAAGAAAGAAAGAAAGAGATCTGAGCTCTCCTCTTATTTCCATCTTGCTAAATCCTCTTGCATTTCAATGGTTCTTGCAAGTTCCCTGAGTCAGAGAAACTTGGTCTTACAAGCTACTGAGAAATATCTAATGTGTGAAGCCACAATATATAAGATTTTTTAAAAATTAGTGTACTGGAGAAATGTCTAGGGAATAAAGTTAATAGAACTTACCATTCAAAGAAAGGATGTAGGAAATGACTCTAGAATTGGCAGAGAGGCCACAATCAGATGAGAAGGTCAACACAACTGGAATTAGTTTTCTAAAAGTGAAAGGTAAGTCAGATGTGTTGTACACTTGCAATCTTTGTTTTCTAGGAAGCTGAGGCAGGATCATAAGTTCATTTTCAGCTTGGGTATCTTAGTGACATAGAGAAAGTCTGTCTCAAAATAAAAAAATAAAGGGAAGTGGGGCTAGATATGTAGTAGCTCAGTACTGGGTCAATCATCAAGTACTAGAGCAAACAAACTAAATTAATTAATGAAATAAAAGAAAAGGGTGGAAATCTAAAAAAAGATGACTAAAATCTTGCAGTGTCACTGTCAGCACTGTCGTGTTATCTTTTCTAGGAGCACACTGCATACCCGTGCAGAAAAAGAGACACTAAATGGGAATTGATCCAGGGCTCTGAATTTCTGGACCCAAATTCATCAGACACATATATGAAAACATGTAGAAGATTTGGGACAAGAGGGTAATTCAAGTGACCAACCAATCAGTCTAGACCAGGCAGAAGAGGAAGGTCATGATTGGAGGCTGTGGGATGGCTGTAATAGAGAGGTAGAAAATGAGAAGATAAAGGTGCTAGAGAGACCAAGGAGGAAAGAAAGAGGGGGCCAGGGGGCAAGCAAAGGGAGAAAGGAACTTTTAGAGTTAAGACAATATGAAGCAACAACGTTCCTAACTTTTCTAGTATCCTTAGATTCACCTCTAGAAGTTGCATCATTATTTCTAAATCCACTTAATATTAGTTAATATGTTATGGAAGTGGTACTTATTAAACATCATTTACTCCAGTACTCCAGTGGATGTAATCCATTGAGCTAGCTGAAAATGATGACATAGATAGTAATAGTTAAAGTAAGCATAGGAGCTCAGGAGTAGAGTGCTTGCTTAGCACACACAAGGCCATTGGTTCTACCTCTATAGCACACACACACACACACACACACACACACACACACACACACACACAGAGTAAATAAAAAAATCAAGGGATTGACATAAAAATAATTAGGATGGCCCTGAGTACCACTATGTTATAGTATTTTCATTTCGAATTTGGAAAGAAATGAATGCAGCTACCATGCTGTGAGCACCAATGCCCCCATCCTTTCACTGACCTCCATGGACGTGTGTTCAGTGCTGAACACTGTCAGCAATTAAGATGCTGCATAAAGATGTCAAGAAGCTCTGGTTTTTCCTTTTACATCAAAGGAAGCATATTTCTCATAAATGGATTGTTTTTCCTAATAGCTATCAGCTCAAAACAGGAAATTACAAAGTGTTCCTAGTGTGTTTCTTCTTTATTTTCTTTTCTTTTCTCTCTTTTCTTTTTTTTTTTTTTTTAATATATATATTTTTAGGGAGGAGTCTACAGGGTGTTCAGGGTCTCACTACTAAACTGGACTCATAGTGATTCTCCTGTTTACAGCTCCCTAAGAACTAGTATTACAGGCGCAGGCTACCACGCCCACTCTCAATTGCTGTCT